AAATTGTTTGAAAATTTTGCATGGTTACTGAGTTATGGCATTTTTTGTGAAAGCGGTTTTTTTCGTTACACACTGTAAATAAAACTAAAATTAGCACAAAAAATCCATAGTGTGAGTTAAGGAATTAGATCTACGGAATACTCTATGAAAAAATCAGAAAAAAATAGTTAAAAGTGTATTACATTACTATGACATGCTGCATAACAATAATTAACTCATTTGTTTCTGGGGGTTGTGTGAGCCCATAAAGTCGAAGAAATTTGGATAAAGATAATCTCTAGAACGAAATTTTTTTGTCTTTAATTATAATAATGATCGGGCCCACAAAACGCACTCAATAATGTCGTGAGTTGCGATTACACTTGGAACGGTTTAATATTAAAGGAAACTCTTCCATCTGCATTCGATTCTATTTCTCTACAGACAATACGAAAATATGCATTAAGGTCCAAACGGTTTATGGATTTTATAGAAAGAAATTGGAGGGGCGACAGGCAAAATTTGCGGCTAAAAATTATAAAAGTCATAGAAGGTTTCTGAATATGAACAATTTTTGAATAAAAATTAATAAAATTAGTAAAATTACTATTTATTATTATATTGTTGATTTCAGTAATGATTTCTCCTTGAAAATCGAAACAATTTGATGCGTACTTGGTTGGTTGTGGCGCTGTGGCCGTGCAATTTATATATTATTTGAAAGCTCTAGTTTTCACGAATGTTTGCCATTAGTATCATATTTGTATTTTGTAAAATTTTTTATTATGGTAAATTAAAAAGTCTGGTGACTGAGAAGGCCAATCTTCAAAAAGAATACTCTTCTTCTCAGACTACCATTTTTTTACATTCTTTTTAGTGTGGACAGAAGTATTATCTTGTAATAATTTGTAGGATAATTTTCTTGAATAAATGGCAACAACTTGTTTTCCAGAATATTAATATAGTTTCTATAATTCATCTTCCTACCTAATTAATAGTCCTAACCCCAATGCTGAAAAACATCCCAAACCATGATGAAAAAATAGATCCTTCAGATAATATAAAATTGCAATTATTTATTTAATGCAGTCTTGAGAAAAAACGTAAAACCAATGCCAATCGGGCATCAATTTTATAAATTTAATGACAAATTTGTTTTTAATTTTACCATAATAAAATTTCACAAAATATAAATATGATACTGGTGACAAACATTCCTGAGAAATAGAGCTTTCGAATAATATATAAACTGCAACTACCGTATTTCTCGGACTAAAGTATTCCCCTTGCATAGTACCACTCCACCATTTTGAAGCTCATGGAATGTAAAAGACCATGGTACTATGATCGGTTTGTTACACAAAATACTTGTAAAGTACCATGGTACAGCGTTTTTTATTACAGTCCCCCCGAAAGTAATGGCAGGGTGTTTTTTTATTATTAAAAACGTTTTTACATAATAATTGGTTTTCAAATTTTTATTTTACAATGTGATTAGATAGGGTATATACCAGTAAAATTTTAGTATTTAGTATGCCCTCCTTCAGCGTCAATGCACGCTTGAATGCGATCTGGCATACTGGTAATACATGAAAGAACTATCTCATCAGAGATATTTTCCCATTCCTCCTCTACTAATGTAATAAAAGCAGCCTGTGTTATTTTTATTTTCTTTGCCACCATTGCCTTGACCTTTTTCTCTACCTTTCGCTTGAGAATTGCCCAAATATTCTCAATCGGGTTCATATCTGGGCTATATGACGGCCAAGGCAAAACGCGGCCAGGCAGTTTTAATTGAAGGTCTGTACGAACTTCCTTTGAAGTATGTTTGGGATCATTGTCTTGCTGGAAAATCCAGCGTTGATTCCTATACATACTGGTTGCATTATCATACAATTCTCATTAAGAATTTTGTTTATACAAATGTCGATCCATATTCTCCACAAATGTATACATTCCAACTTTCCCACGTGAACAAATTGCCCCCTACACATGAAGTTTAAATGGATGTTTTACCATTGGTGCAATGGGTTTTTTTGACTTCGACCAAGCCTAAGCATGTGTTTTGAAACATTTGCAAAGTTGTTTCATCAGAGAATACTACTTTGCGCCAGTTATAATGAGAGTGGTTATGTGCCACATTCTAACCGGTTTTGCTTGGCTTGTTCAGTAAGAAGTGGGACACGTCTTGGCAAAGTAGCGTTATATCCAAGCCTGGAAAGCTCGTCACGGATAGTCTGTTCACCAACCTCCAAACCTGGGTGGGTTTCTTCGAGTCGAGCCTTAATTTCAGCTGCTGTGACAAAATAGTTCAAATTTACGATTCTGCCAATCTGGCGTCGCATTTGAGGAGTAATTTTACGAGGGCGACCAGAGCTGTGAATGTCCAAAATTTTGCCATTTTTACGAAGCTGGGATATGTATCGTTCACAGGAGCGAAGAGGAACGTTGGTTTTCCGAGAAATTTCTGTCGGGCTTCGGTAGCCTTGCTTCCATAACGTCTTAACTGCCTCACGGTTGAACGTAATATGCTTTATTGATCAATATAGTTTTGGCTTAAAGTAACAAAAACAATAATGCGAGATTCTACGCGTACTAGCAGTGACCTAATATGTTCTAGCGGCAGCTGATTGTGCCACAAAATTGTATGACACGGTAAAATATATACCCCGCCATTACTTTTCGAGGTGACTGTATCGTGTAACGGTAATCATCATCGTCACTTTCCGCATCAAGTATCTACCGTTACCGTTACAGTCATACCTCATTTGTATCCCCCCCTATTGTATCCCAACCTCGACTATATCCCAGGTTTTCAGCCGGACAGATTTCCCTTATTGTAAATCAATATAAATCTTACAAGAGAGACCGTCCCTATATAAGGAAATAGGTAACACAATTCATTTAAATCGGTTTTTATACATTTTATAATAGATTTTCAAAGCGTTGTGCAGGTCATGCCTACAATAAAATGTGCATGAGAATGCTAAGCAAACTGGAAGCTTTTACAGCGTAAAATACTATATTTCTTGAATCCCGTTGAATCCCTCACCCTTGCGTAGCTATATACTTGACAAAATGCCTAAGACTAAGCGTTGCACAGAATGCGAATCTATTGAAGCGGCTAAATTCCGTTCGTTGAGCGGAGAGAAATGGAGAGATGCAAAGGATAAAGGTTTAGTGAAGGAGACATGAGGGGAAGGAGTTATTCTTTGCAATACTTGTTATATGCAATTTGTAGAAAACCCATTAAGAAGAGGAGTTAAGAGAGTGAAAGTTACAGATGAGAAAGAGGCGAGTACAAAAATTGAGCTCACTAAAGCCATCGAGGCAATAGGTAAGATTCTCTACGAAAGGGAGCATGTAGAGAAAGAAGGGCCAGTTTATGAATATGATGAAATGCGCAACTTGCTTCAAAAAAAAGAACCCAGCTTGCGTAATTTTTTTGACCAACTTTATTCAGCGGCTCGACCATCAGAACGTAACGATCAGACAATGAATCGTATGAAAAGATTGATGGTTTTTATATGTTATCTCCTCGCATCGCTGAATAATACTAAAATTAACAGCTTTAAGTTTGACCTGGCGTTCTACTTAGACTCAGCAGGCACAAGTAATGAAGGCATAAACACTATGGCAAATCTCGGAGCAACTACAACATCAAGAGCGGTAGATCGGAGGAAGAAGAAAATGTCAGATGTTCATGGAGACTATGTAGAGAAGTGTCTTATATTACATTTGGATAAGGCCTTGGTGTTAAATATTGACGATTATCATAATATTCATGTTCAAAAGCAGGCTGATACTACAAATACGTCTTGGGCCAATATTGCAATTTTATGTGATTATACGGATTGTGATCGTACTAACGTTTTATCCGATGGTAGTCTTTTGGCATGCGGACATGGTTACCACAGTCGTTGTCTGCAAAGATGCCAATTTAAATGTTTAATATGTTTAAGTTATCTTCAAGCTGAGATTACAAAAAATGTAAATGCAACGTTGTCGAGCATGACAAAGGAATATATTGAAGACGAGGTGATTGAAGAGAGTAATGAAAATATAGTTGATGATGATTTGAGTGATATAGACAACATAACTGAGGATGTATTAATGGTAGAGAATCTATTAGAGCGCGCAAAATATGTATTCTTAGAACAATAAAAGTATATTATTATAAGCGTTGAACCAGCACTATGTTTATTCTGGCTAGAAATTAAATATAAAACTGACCGAAATTAAGTGTTACCCAATCGGGTGTTTGTACAACAGTTTGTGTAACTAGTGTAACAATCAACGGTCTCTCTTGCATGATAAACATCAAACTTAATCTATCTAAAAAAGTAATTAAACAAAAAATGTGTTCATTATTACCGTTAACTTGATAAATTTTTACATATATCCTAAGCTACTTTCATATTACATCTTACGCTCTTAGGCTTTAATCATCGAAAATTTTTTGCTTAGCTAAGCTCACATGATTTGCATCACCCCACATTTTAGTGTCACGCCACATATATATACCAAATATTATCTTTTTACTATCACGGAAGTTTTATCGCACCATAATGTCTTTCAAAAAATAACGATAAAAGAAACTGCAGCTATGGTTTTGTATCTTTGCCTAAAAATGTTACACATATACACATGATCAGCATCAATCTCCAAATCTGACTGTTCAGCGCAAACGCATCCGATACTCCATTTTCCGACACTAGTATTGCGTCTTCACCAATACCGCAACGGCGACCAACTACTCGTCTGCACAAGCCTCATACGCGATTTACAAATTCAATTTTTGCCTGTAGAAAATGATAAATTTATGGTTTGTGAGACACTCGGTGTTCACAGCCGACTGAAATGACGAGTCCAACTTTAACTCAAAGCAAACTTACCTTCTTCATTGTGTATACAGCAGGGAGCAATAGTAATGTTCTTAAATTATTCTTTGATAGAAAAGGGTATTTGCAATGAAACAATCGGAATTGTCACCGATTTTGGCAAAGAGACACTATCCGTTCAAGTGTCAAGATTGGAATAATACACTGTTGGGTATCTCGCTACACATCTTACTTTTAT